AAACTTATATGTATAAAACAATTTGTATTCTGCTTGTTTAATGCTAAATATCACATGTTCCCTAGTTTCACTATTATGTCTAACRCTGAAATGACAATCGTTTTTATCATTCTACACTATTTACAGAAGCGACTGTATTACTGGGTCAAATGATGYTTTGTGGATGTTCATCATGTTATGCTAGGCTGCCTTCCAAAAACATTAAACCTGTTAGACTGGTATGGCTGTACTGATTTTTGCAATCTAATTAACTTTAGATAACATTTTGTAAAAAATAGATTTTAAGTTTTCTAAAGAACACTTTCCTTTCTTCTTATAACCTAGGCTTATGGGTTGTTTTATTACTAAAATTTTTAAATGAAGGAAAATGTCTAGTGTAACGCTCTTATTTTAAACATGAATAAAATAAGACCCAGAAATGATTGAGTTGTTTTCACCTTGCCTGTGTTCACCTCCCACCTCAGTCAGCCATTCCCGTGATTCATATTGGCCATAGAAATATGTTTATTCTATCCATATGCTATGAGGACCCTTGTATCCTCCCCATTACATATAATACTGGACATTTTCACTTCCAGTGGCACACATCTGTAATCCCTCTTTGRGAGGCTGAAGCAGGAGGATTACAAGTTTCAGGCCAGCCYGGGCAACATAGTGAGACTCCCATCCTAAAAATCACCATGACTTAATTAACAACTAATCTGCTGCCTACAGATTTGACAGTACTTATGCTTCTGGTCTAATCAGAAACTCTAAGAAGTAATTCTCAAAATAACTTAAGATTTGAAATTTGTTTCAGGATGAAGAACAAGATTTATGACAAATACTTTTTTCTCTTTTAATTAAGGCATGAAGAAACACACATTGGCAAATAATAATAATAATAATAATAATAATAATAATAATAAAGGCAACTGGAACTCCTTAACCTCACACAGGATGTAAACTAGGTAATCACAACCTAGATATATATAAGTGAATTGAGAGACACAATGTCAAGGCCATAGGGATCACAGAAATTCTCTGGAGTTCCACCATCTCATTTCAGAGTAGAAAGTAAAGCTATGAGGATGAAGTGATCTGCCACAGTCACACAAAAGGACTTATGTGTTTAGTGCAGAAGTCTAGATACAGAATAGTACACAGGTGGGTGGATGAAATGCCCTGAGACAGTTTGATGRAAAGATGCTTAAAAGAAAATAGAGACTGACTCACAATGTGAAAGAATGGGAAGAAAACACAGTTCCAATTCGAAAGTGAAAATCTCAACAAATGACTGAACTTGGCTGTTCTGAAACTACCTTCATGTTAGTGTCTGTAAAAGTTTCATCTAAGCAAGTTCAGCAGATGAGCACCTTGAGAAAAGTTATGAAAATGAACCAAGGAAACCAAAATTATGGYTTCCCAGCACCAGGACCTCTAGATCTGCCCTCTAGATCTCTCACCCATAGAAAGATACAAATGCAGCTGATTCTGCGCATATCCAATGTCCCCCCAAGGCTCATGTGTTAGAGGCTTGGGCCCCAGGAGGTGATGGAACYTTTCCAAGGTGGGGCCTAGTGGGAGGTCTTTGATGGAACTCAGGGGCACTCCACCACTGAGCCACATCCTCAGCCCTATTTTGTATTTTATTTAGAGACAGGGTCTCACYGAGCTGTTTAGCGCCTCGCTTTTGCTGAGGCTGGAGTAGTTTTGCCCCACCACATGCTCTCCACCATCACCAATGGGCAGTTCCACTGGAGAAAATAGGATCACAAACTTGAACTCTAAAACCATGAGTCAAAATAAATCTTTTCCTTCATAAATCAATTACCTCAGATATTCTTTATGGTGATGGAAAGCAGAATAACCTACTCTATGATATTTTAGCCTTCATGCATCTTTAGTATTTTCATCCCRGTTGTTAGGAACTATCTAGTGCATGGTATTATTGAAATGATTTGGAGTAGTGCTATGGTTTAGATAAGTGTCCCATATGTTAAAGGCTTGGTCTCCAGTGTGGCACTCTTAGGAGGTTGTAGGAGTTGGGGCCTAATAGGAGATCTTTAGGTTATTGGGGGCTTGCCCTTGAAGGGAATTGTGATACCCTTGTTTCTTTGTCTTTCCCTTTTGTTCCTTGGCTCCTGATACAAGGACTCTCGCTCTCCCATTATGATGTGCTGCCTTGCCACATGCCCCAAAGTAATGGAGTCAATTGATCATGGACTGGAACCTCCAAAACTGTGAGCCAAAATAACCTTTCCTCTTTATAAATTAATTATTTCAGGTATTTTGTTATAATAATAGAAAGCTAATTTATACTGGGAGGAATAATGAAATTTTGGTATCATAAGAAAATTTCCTGTCCAATGTGGAGAATTTAATAACATAAAGGAGTTCATGCGAGGCACTAGGTTYGATCCTCAGCACCACATAAAAATAAATAAATAAATAAAATAAAGGTATTGTGTCCAACTACAACTAAAAACTTTTTTTWAAAAAAAGGAGTTCAGGACAAATAATTTTTTATTAAAAATTAGAAGTTTAATATTGAAATGCATATTTGCACATAAGTATCAGAAGGCTGTGCATTCTCTAAATTTAATGGAAAAAATAAATCTAGAAGAGGGCTTAAAGAATGAGTCAGAGTATCAAGTTACTAGGTCATGACTAGCATTTTTTTAATGCATTAAAATAAAAATACCAGGAAAACTGTGTATATGAAGGAAAGCACTGTTCTAKGAAAGCTTTGTTTAAATTATTGCATATATGTGTTTCCTGAGTTATAATATAAAATCGATTTTTAACCAAGGATCACTTTTTAAAAAAGTATTAGTAGCAAATTTAAAAGAACATTATATAAGTAAAAGAAAAATGATAAATGCTCCTGTGCATCATAGCTTACAGAAGAAACTGAAAAACATTTGGTTGTTAAAGTGAATAAATACAGGAAAAATAAAATGAGAGGTTATATTTTAGCAAGAGTTCTGAGAACAGAGAATGATAGAGCAAAGTTTTTCAGTGGAGAATCCTCAGCATTAAGCACAGCACACTCAATAAACTTGTGAAATAAACCAAAAATTATGAATTAATTAACTATAGGAGACCAGAGATCATTAAGGATAGAACGTAGTCAAAAACATGTATAAAAAGATCATTTTACAACAGTGTCAGAGAAATTAAAAGCTCAGGGCATTTCATATATATTTATATGTTTATGCATGCATATGAAATATGCATTGTGTATGTGCACAAATGCATGTATATATGGATATGTACTTATCTATATATAAAATGGGTATGTTTGTTTGTATATAGTTACATGCTGAAAATCTGATCAACAATAGACTGCATGTGACAATGGTCTACAAGACCATAATGGAGTTAAAAAAATCCTATTGCCTCTGGGTGGTGGTGGMACATGCCTGTAATTCTAGTGACTTGGGAGGCTGAGATAGGAGCATTGCAATTTCAAAGCCAGCCTCTGCACTTAGTGAGGCCCTAAGCAATTTAGATCCTGTCTCAAAATAAAAAATAAAAATTGCTGGGGATGTGGCTCTGGTTAAGTGCCTGGGTTCAATCTCTGGTACAAAAAAAAAAAAAAATCTAATTGCCATGAGATGTTGTAATAAAATTGCACCACACACTACTCAKAGGTTTGTAGTTATGCTAGTAGAAACAACCCTACTTGCACTGCCGGTCTGGTGAAAATACATAAAGCTTGATAATGATGATCATCTACTATGTTACTTGTTTAAGTATTTACTACATTTTTATCATTACAGTATATTCCTTCTACCTGTTAAAAAAAAGTTAACTGTAAAACAGCAGAGGCACAAGATGTGGAGGTGGAAGACAGTGGTATTGGTACGACCTCCTGTAGGCCTGGGCTATTGAGTGTATTTGTGTCTTAGTTTTTCTTTTTTTTTTTTAACAAAAAGTTTAAAAAGTTACAGTAAGCTAAGGTTAACACATTGAATGGCGAAAAAAATATTTTTCTAAAATGTAGCCTAAGTGTAGAATGTTTGTAAAGTCTACACTGTATACAACAATATCCTATTTCACTCACTGACTCACCCAAAGCAAGCTCTGTTCAAGGCATATGCCCTATACAGGTGTTCAATTTTTAAATCTTTTGCACTGCATTATTACTAAGTTTTCTATGTTTAGATACACCAACACCTACCATTGTGTTACAATAACTTACAGTATTCAGTTCTGTAACATGCTAAATGGATTGTAGCCTAGGAGTTACAGGCTTGCCATATAGCCCAGTGTGTAGGAGGAATGCTAAGTACACTCTATGATGTTCACACAGTGATGAAATTGCCTCAGGAGGCATTTCTTGGAATGTGTCCTAGTAGGCTGTACATATATACACCATACAAACTTTAACCCCAATTAAGAAGCTCATTGGCACACACAAATAAGAGTAAAGCTTGGATAATACCCAAATATGATTCGCCCTCCTCAATCAGCAATGCTACACAGGGCGAGGGAAGGAAGCCCGAGGAGAGCGGAAAGTCCTGTAGACTATGAATGAATGAATGAATGAATGAACGAACGAAGGAACGAACGAAAGAGAGGCACGCTGATTGTACAGGCACGCATTTCAAACTGTTCCCCATAAGAAACAGTTCAACTTTCTTGCTTCTACTAGATACGTTTGAGGGTCCCAAATACAAACTCCTGTGACTTGTAGATTTGGGACTGTGCGTCCATGGGAAGGAAGGAGAGGCAGCGCGGACCAAGGAACAGCTGAAGGGCTACATTAGCACCTACTCCTTGACACCAACACAAATAATTTCTGTACTTTTCTCCTTCCCTTTCTCCGGGAGCCACTGTGAGAAAAGACTTTTAAAAAATTATGAGAGTAAAGCCAGTCGATTACCCAGAAAATTTGAGCGCCATTAAGATGATGGTGTGAAGCAGCGCGCCTGGGAGTTTTGCTGGAAAACCAGGCTAGGGATGGGGCTGGAGAAAGTTCGCACCGGCAGCACCCACCCTCCCATGCTCCTCACCATCTGCATCGCCTCCTCCATCCACTTTTCGATCTCCTCTGCTGACACCACGCACGAGCCGTCTGGGGCCGGCGAGGAATCCACCTTTGCCTCCATACCGCACCCGCGCGGGACCTCAGGGTGTCAGAGGCCGAGACCCAAGGGGAGCAGGGACTGCGGAACGCAGTGTAAATGGGCCATCGTTTCCGGGGGAGAGGAGAAGGCCAGGGCACGCGGGAGCAATTTCCCGACGGACCTGGGAGCTCCGGACCAGTGAGCGGCGACGGCGGCGCGGCGGCAGCGACAGAAAGCGCAGCTGCTCTGTAGTCCACGCCCCCTTCCCGCTCTGGTGACAGCCTCTGCGGAAAGTCGTGTTTGTGATTTCTGGAGAGCACCGAGAGGGACGACGGCGATCCTGCCGGGTCTTCCGGCCCAGGTGACAAAGAAACGGTTTCCTGGTGAACCTGTCCCGCACCCCAAGAAGCCCGCACCCCCAGCGCCTGAAGATGCTGAGATCTATGTGGAATTTTTTGAAACGTCACAAAAAGAAATGCATTTTCCTGGGCACAGTTCTTGGAGGTGGGTGACAGCGTGCTTGGAAAGGGGCACTGGGAGAAAGAGGTGGAAGAGAGGTGGCTTTCTTCCAAAACAGGGAGAGGCCAGGATATGTAGAGGCTACGGATGTGGAGCGGCATGGCAAACCTCCAGGGTTCTTTCCATCTCTCCAGTTTCTATGTCCTTTGCCCTGTCACTGCCCCTCACTCTGCTTCTCTCTCCACCCCCTACCCCCCCCCCACGGAACTTGGAGAACGTACCACAATTAAGTTTTTTTTTTTTTTTCCAGGCATTCTTTTTAATTCTCTTTGTTGCTTTCTTGTGATCGCCTTCATTTCTTTTTGGCACTCTCAGTACTTTGGCTTTCACCCTTTATTGGAGTTTCATAACATTCTAAGGGAGTTATCTGAAGTCTGTACTTTGGGTGGTGTTTAAAGATAACTTGACTTTTTAAAAAATAGCACGTTGTACTGAAGAAAGATATGTACTAGATAAAGAAAAGCAAATCAATATTTCAGCTCTGGTTCTGCCATTTTAGATAAAATTATGCAGCAACAAAATGCTTAGGATTAGGATGTTGTGCAATCTTCTCAGGATTGTGAAGGTTGGAATCAGTGCACATCTAGGTAACACAACTGAAATCACTGGCTGAAAGGAGATTTAGAAACAGATTTTACTTAAAAATCTTGAGACCCTTTTCCATCATATGACATTCATGTCATAGCATTCAGGAATTTGAAGGAGAAATTAAAAAGCCTTTTGAATTATACAAAAAGGAAATTTAGGAACTTTAAGAGAATGTTTTTGAACTTGAGGGTTTGAGAATTTTTTTTTTATCACCAACTACATGTTTAGGTTACATAAGTACTTAAACATCAAGGACAGACGTTTCCCAAAGAACTTGGTTGCTATTGTCTTACTTTTTGATTGTATTCTATTATGCCCAAACAATTTGAAATTAATAATACCATTATACCAGTAATTCAGATATGATGATTCTTTGTGGTTTGAGATAGGGTTTTTGATCAGGCAAGGATTATGTTTTGCATGTCTCAGGTCTAGCACAAATTGATAATAAGCATATACAAACTTTGATCACCGTTAAGACATCCTTTATAAATAAAAAGTATCTTCTGATATCTTCAGCCTCTTCTGATACTTTAAACATCTTAAAGTATGTTTAATCTACACTGAGACTACTGAGACCATTCTATTTATAAAAGCTAAAGATATATTTGTAATGGAATATATGTCAGTACAATATATGCTGCTGCTGAAGGAAGGCAAATTTTCCCTTTAGCAGTTTCAGAAGGAATAGCATACCCCTTCAGGCTTATAGAACAACCTAATGGTAGATCAGAAATAATCACAGGGGAAACAAAGACTGTTCTTAAAAGATAGTTATAGACCCAGGAATGGTGGTGCATGTCTGTAATCCCAGCAGCTTGGCATGCTGGGGCAGAAGGATCACAATCTCAAAGCCAACCTCAGTAATTTAGTGAGGCCCTAAGCACTTAGTGAGACCCAGTCTCAAAATAAATAAATAAATAAATAAAAAGAGGGATGGGAGGTTATAAAGTGTTTAAGCACCCCTGAGTTCAATCCTGGGATAACAAAAAAAGATAGTTATAGGGKTTTTAAAATCTATGGAGAGCTTTATAATTACAGATTAAAATATCAGACTAAGAGGAGTTGTTTTAACAAGTTCAGAATAATAGAACTGATGATATGTTTCTGCTGTCATACAGCAAAGAAAGTCAGTCTGAAAAAAAGAAAAGAGATGACCACAGCTAGAATTTGTTTGTTTGAGGCTCATATTTTTTTCTGTTTCAAGGGAAAGTCTAATAGCATGTTAAATTTCAATTGATTTAAGAAATATTTATCAAGTGCCTGCAGTGCCAAAGGTAATATGATTGGAGATACAGATTTACAGATTTAAATAGTAATAGCTAGTATTTATTGGGTACCAATTGTATATTGAACATATATACTATGTTCTTTCTATTCAGTAGGGATGACAATAGGGTAGTTATTGTCATCCCATTCAGAAATGTAGGAACCAGAGCTCAGAGAATTTAAAAAGCTTGCCTAGGGTCTCAGAGTTAGTAACAGGGAACCTGGTTAGTATGTTAGATCCCAATGCTCATTCTCTTTCCACACAGTACCACTCAGTCTTCATGGACTTTATGGTCTAATAGGAAGGAAAACCATGCATAAAAATATTAAAATTACAAATCCATGAAGGGTGAGAAAACACTGTACAAATCAACCTAGCAGACAGCATATGTAGTTGTAAAAATCAGGAAGGACTTCATGAAAGAAGTGACACATTATTTTTTATTTTTTTAGTTTTAGATGGACACAATGCCTTTATTTATTTATTTATTTTTATGTGGTGCTGAGAATTGAACCCAGTGCCTCACACGTATAAAGCAAGCATTCTTGTCACTGATCRACAGTCCCAGCCCCCAAGTGGCACATTTTGACAAACTTGAAAGCTGGGTAAGGTATCTACATGCACTCTCAAAGAAGTCTGACCATTTACTAGTGGAAAAAAACTCAAATCAAATTTTGAGTTGCAAGGCTGCTTATGTGGGAATTTCTATTTCCCTGAATTTTGGATGGGTAATTACTTCAGACGAATTTGTACAATTTGACCAGTGTGGCAAGACTATAAAGTAGTAGTTCTCAAACTTTTTGATCTGAAGTCTCCTTTACATAATTCTTAAAAATTAAGGAGCCTAAAGAGCTTTCTAAATGTTATACCTACTATTTATAATATTTGAAATTAAAACCAAGAAATTTTAAAATTTTTTATTAATTCATTTAAAATATTAAACCATTGCATGTTAACATTAACAACACTTACTGGAAAAAAATGGCAKTGTTTAAATTTTGCAAGTCTCTATAATGATTGGCTTAACTGAAGAGAACTGGATTCTCATATCTTATTCTGCATTCAGTCATGTAGCTCTTAGGATCTTCCTCTGTACACTCATGAGAGATTGATAATGTAAATTGCAAATAACATTTTAATACTATTGCAAAAATAGTTATGACCTTACAGATCCCCTGAAAGAGCCTCAAAGCGCCCAGGGGTGCCCAAGCCATGAAGAATCAATGCACTAGAGAAGGTATTGCAGAACAGAAAGCAACCAGATTCGTATATATTGGCTTGCTGATTTTTAGAAAATCACAGAACATTGACTAATGGTTTATGTCTTAAACTTTGTCATTTCTGAACTCTTCAGATTTTTATTCATTCATTCATTCAACAAGCATTTTAATGACAATAAATGCCTACTTTCATTACTGGGTTCATTATTCATTATTTTTTACTGGACTCTAGGAAAACAAAGAAGTAATACACAATTCTTGACTTTGAGGGAATCATGATACAATCTGGAAAGCATAAATAGAAATAAAAGTAGCACAATGATAATATTATGGTACAATGGAAGCAGAGGAGAGAGAAGTATGAATTTGTCTGGCAAACTTCACAGAAGTTCCACTTAAGTTCTAAAGCTAGCAAAGGAGTCAAAGGCACAGAAGAAAAAGGAGGTATACAAGAGATTCAGAAACACTGATTTTGACAAGTCAAAGTATATTTCACTATAGCTAAGCAGTGAGGAGTGGTAAAAGGTTGATTTGGAGAAGTCACTAGGTCATAAATAAAACTAGATTAAAGGCCTTCCTTATTACCCTATTCTAAATAATATGGATAATATCCTGTGTATGGATGCTTCTAAGACTTTATTATGGAAAAAAATTACTTAAGGGAATAATAAAAATAAAGACTCCACTTCTACAAATTTTGATCCTTTAGGTCTGAAGTACAGTTCAAGAATTCCTTAATTCATTCAGCAAATATTTATAGAGTTCCCAGTGTGCACCAGTAAGAGTTTAACAAAAGAAAAAAACTAAGAAGCTATTTATGACTCAGTTCAAGAGCACTAATTCATGTTCTAAACATGTAATGGTAAAGAAAAGAAAATTATTTCTGAAATAGAATTAGAGTAGAAGGATTTGGGGATCTGTTAGATTGGGAACAATATTAATATATTACTTTTCAAACTGTTATTGAAATGTTTAACCTGGCAAAATAGTTGCATTTTAGGAATTTTTATCCTGAAAGACAAGACTAAAAGATGATTTTAAAACAACTTAAAGATATTTTGCTTTACCAGAAATGTTCTGAAAGGTAAACTTACATTTTACATTTATTTTTTGAGGTGTTTAATCAATGTTTCCATTATTCATAAATCAAGTTATAGCTACAGAAGAAACATTAAAACTCATATAATCCCAATCTGTCATTTTATGAAGAAGTTTAGATTCAGAGAGAAAAAGGGACTGCTTTAAAGTCACATAACTAGTTGGCACCAGAACCATCAAGATGTCCTATCTTCTAGGCCCAAATTCAAGCTGCTATTCAAGTATATACAGAGGCCAGAGCTCCATGTTTTACGTAATGAGTTTTCTTTCCTCATTYTTATTTTACAAGGGAGACAAATATGACAAAATTTATGAATATGGTTATGAGAGCCAGGGTAAACTAGAYCTTGTATAGGAACTTTAGTGCTAACTAAACAAAAATAATGAGTTTAGGATTTTAGCCTATT